TATATTTTTACGCGCATTCGACAAACGGTTAAAAATAGCCCCAGCAACTGGCGACAGGTGTGTCCCAACGTATCCTAATGACTAGCACAATGCGTATGTGTGTGTGTGTGTGTGCCTGTGTGGATAGATTAAAGTGCTTGGACTGAGAATTATGTAAGGGCCTGTTCCAAATGTCGTACACTAAAAAATCGTTTTGATTTTGTTTTTATGTATGTATTATACAAAATAAAATATACTAAATATTTTAAATGTTTAAGAATTTAAGATGAAAGTGCGGCAAAATTTTGTTTTGTTTTGAAAATAACCTAGTTTTCTAAATATTTTAAGGTATTCATTAATCAGTTTAATGAAAGATATACTTCCCAGTTCCCCTCTACACAAATATTTATAAGATTGAAAGTTTCAATTGTCAAAATTATAAAAGAAACTGGTAATTTATGTAAAACGACATTGTTTATTGTAAGGGTTAACTTGATTTTGTGATATTTTACCTTCTTCTTCTAAAAAGTATTAAGAATAGAAACTAGCTTCAGCACATACCAAGTATTATAAGGACAAATACTTTTTACGTTGTAAACTAATGAAAGAAAATAAAGAAAAATAATAATATTTTAAACTTAGCAGATTTTGAAAGTGTCTCGAATTGCAAACGAATTTGGAATTCGGAATATGCCTGCTTATTAACAGTTTCGCGCGCGCGACCCACTTCCCAATTCCCAAATGATTTTCTAGGCGTGTGTGTCTGTGTGTGTGACCCACTTTTTCGGTCCCAAATAGATTTTGATGCCCCTTCAATGCTCGCATTTCAATTGTCGTCAAGTTGTCAATTGGCCATAATGAGCAGCTGTTGGCATTGGAGCATTGCCAGGAATGAACGACCAGCAGCGGCACCTCCCTCCCCGGCATACCCCTTTCAGCTTACCTGGGCAATGTCCCGTCGTGTGCAGCAGAAGTTGACAAATGTCATGTTGACAAAATCAGAGCCATGGCAAATGGTGACGGTCTTCTCTTCGAGCGTGTCCTGCGGTCCCATCGTCACAATCTGGCGCAGCTTGGCGTCCTGCAAAGAGACGCAAGACAAAGGCAAACGGGCAATGATTATTATTAATTACCAAGCATAAAGCACGCCCCCAAAATGAAGTTTTATGGCTCGTGGCCACTCTCGTAAATCGAAGCCATATCCTTAGCCCTAATCCAGTGAGTGCGCCGACAAAATTCATTTGGCTGCTCGTAAATCAAATAACAGGGCAATGCGAAAACCAGACAGCCAGACAACTGGACTACTCCAAGGCGCCATAATTCAATTAAATTTCACAAAATGGATTTACGAGAGGTGCGGAACACAACTGCCAAGGAACGGCCATACTGGACACACCCAGCAAATCAACCCAGTAAAAAGAAGCAAGACGTCCAGAAAAGTCTAACAAGTACTATATGAAAGAACATCTGAGAATCGCCGAATACTGAATGCACTAGATATTATTTATTTATTTCTATTGAATAACGAAAAAATATAAAAGTCTTACTTTGATGAGATTTTATATATTTAAAAAACTTTTGTAACTTCAATTTACTTAGTTAGATTAATATATCTGTATTATTAAATCAATAAGATTTTGTACACTAATTTTATTTTCAGACTATAATTTAGACTAACTCATTAATAAAAAGCACTATAAAAATACTCCTGAGACCTAACATATTTCACATGTTTTGTTCAATCCACCAACTTGGGCGGAAAGTGGATTAATACGTGTTTCACTGATTTGCGAAAGTCAACTCGAAAGACTGTTTTGTTTTTTATTGAATCGAGTACAAGATTATTTGCAAATATCTAGGTAGAATGTCATTTGAAATGTGATTGCGATAAATCCACTGGGTGTAAATGGGGTGTGGAAAAGTTTGCTCAAACGTCACACTTTTCGTGACAAGATTTAAATACCTTTTGCAAGAGTATATAAACCCAACTAGGCTAAATGTAAATCAGCCCGATAGCCAGATAATCACGCAACATGTTCTACAAAAGTGAAATAGGGAGAAATGGAGATAGAGATTGAGAAAAGGAAGTAGGAAAGAGGCGGGGAAAAGAGTGACAGGACAAGCGACTGTTTGGCGAGACAAGCGTCGGTATTAGTTTTGGCTTTGTTGTCAGTTTAGCAGCTGTCCCTGTCCGCCGTCTGTTGCACTGGCTCTGAGTGGCAGTTGCACCGACAGAGTGGCGGTTGCTGTGGCAGTGGCAGTGTCTTATCTGCTGCAAGCTGTGGACTAAATTGTTGTCGCCCCGCTGGGCGTTTAATGACAAATCCAAAATCAGCTACAGGATTATCAGCGCCCTTTAAAATGCATGATACACACACAAACACACTCACATGAAACGGGCGGCGCTAGGGGCTAGGGGCTGTAGCATGAATTTGGCATAAACTTTGGGGCAAGTCATGTCTTGATATTTACAGTAAGCCAAACTGTCTCTATGTGTGGGCTTATGTGCCTGTCAGCCGTCCCGTGGAGCTGCCGACCTTAGCACATTTGATAAACTGCTGGATAACTACGGTCAAATACCAGTGGATAATATGTGGTGTGTGCTGTTTGCTTATGATGATGTTCGAGCTCTCCTTATTGGACCATATCAAGCAAGTATTTTCAATATTAACCCGATGCAACTTGTGAGCATGTAAGCAGCAGGCTGCGATTCAATGTTTCATATACAAGGTACTTAAATATATATATGTATGCAAACACAAATTAATATTATGTTGTGTTCAAGCAAAATTATGTCAAATCTGACTGACAGCCTTTAAATTAATGGATTGAAAAGAGCTGAAACAGCTCCGAGATTTTAATGCTAAGGTTATCGGAGCATAATGACACTTGAAAATTTTAGAAGAAAATGAAAAGAAAATAAATCAAAGATATTTCGAAAAAAAAATAAATAAACCAGAATAAGGATATTTTGAGATCGGCTAAAAAATTCATTTTCGATCGATTCATCCTGTACTGCTATATAGCAGTGCGATCTTGATACGATTTGGTTTATATCTAAGCTGTATAACATTAACTAAATGTTTGTTATGGTCCAGATATTAAGATGTATAGTGGTTCGATATCAGTAAAATTTTGCATGTATGTAAGGAACATAGTGAAACTTATAAATGCTGAGTTTGGTACAGATATCTTGATAAACAAAATGTTTTCAATACCACAGAAAGACGGACCTATGCGAATTTCCTAGACTTAACTTTTAAACTCAGACACTAGTCCGCTTAAAAGCAAACCCTCGCGCAAGCAGACAAATGGACATGGCTCTATCAGCTCGGCTCTTGATGCTGATCTAGAATATATATACTTTATACGGTCGGAGATGTCTCCTTCTATGCGTCACACATTAATACCCGTTGCAAATGTATGGCCTTCAACAAAATTGTCACCATTTGACTCACGAAAAACATACATGCACACTATAACCGAGCTGGACAAGAGCACCTGCTCTGAATCATCCTGTTTGTCATATTGAACAATATATAAATTGGGAATGCAGTAAAATAATTGTGCTCATTAAAGACTTTTATAAAACGGCGGATATTTTCTATTTTAGCGAATGACGAATCTGGACATCGCGTCCGTTATTAAATGGGTAAATAGGATTTTGTAAAGCGCAATTTAACTTTACATTGTTTCACTTTGTTTACTTTAGAAACAATAAGAAACTCAATATACATCCCAGTGCTTCTTTATAATTAATACATCAGATTTCTACGTTAAATCACGATATCTTATAATATTATATAGTAAAATAGGCATAGTAGTTAAACGTAGACTTGCAAAGTTATGGTTAGTATCTTGGTTTGTGAATATCCTAACAAAAAATTATTTAATTTGCAGTTCATAGTTTAACTCTATGTTTTTCATCTTTATGTTTAACATTTAAGATCCATTTTTGGTGAAATAAAAAAAAAGCTTGTTAGCTGAGCAGAGACAGGTTACGGATTGAACTCGACCTTGACCTTAGGCGGCCCAACCAGCAATTGGATTGAATTCCCTATAAGATGGCATCAATAACTCGACACTGCATAACGGGCTTTGGCTGCCGTCAAAAGCGATTACAATCGGATCGGATGTAGCCCAATCAAAGGCCAACAGAACAGCAGAACAGGTAAAAGCAGCTTGAATGCAAAATGGAGCCAATAATGAGCTTTTGCCGTCCAAGTACGTTCTTAACCCTTCATCCTACGGTCATGCGTCCATTGAGCCAAAGGCACTTTTGACTTTTGCAGTAAGCTGATTGACACACCACAAAGGGGTGCTTGACGGGCAGCTGCTCAGCGGCCATCACGTGGCAGGCTGTGGCAATTAAAGCGTCATTCACTTTAATATCGGCCTGGTGGGCGCTCGCTTGGCGCTGGGCCATAAAAAGGCAATGAAAACTTCCTCGTCCTGCCCGTAACCCACCGAGTGCTTTTCGCGAGTCCTGACTGCGCCGCCGTTAGAGCGTCATAATTTGCTTTTAACTAAAAACTAAATCGAGCCAATTTGTCGTCCTGAATAATGTAACAGCCAGCAAAGAAGAGAGAGAGGGAGGGAGAGAGTGCGGCACAGGTACAGCTAGAGGATTTTCGTCCTTGCTAGGATATTTCACGGGCACTGCAGGAAGCGTAAAGCGGAAATGACTATGGTGGTTATCTTAATTGCTTCACACGCTCCTCTCAAAGTTTTATTTGGGTAGGTTCTACTTAGCTGACGCCTCTATCTGTACTGGTACCGGCAAATCCTATGGGTCTGGCTCGGTATTTAAATGTTCAGAGCCCTCATTAGCTAACTAGGCATGGAAAGGGTTGCTCAGGCCCGACTCTTCTAATTTTACGACGGTTCCACTGCCGCATTTCATTACTAATTTACTAATGGTATTAATGAAATAGGACATATATATATATATATATTATATATTTATATATACGTTCCGATATATTTTGTTATATTTTCATTTCGTTTTGACATTTTGCTAGTCGTGTAGAAAAATGTTACAAAATTATTGAACAGAGAAATTAAAAAAAAAATTATTTTATTCAAAGTCCATCAAAGTGCATCGCAACAAAATGCGTAGGCAGCAATCAGCACCTCTTTCGCAAGAAGAGCCCACCCAGAAGATACCGAATTTGGCCCAGTTAACTCCCTATGATGTAATGCGAATGCAAAACTGCAAAGGCTATAAGTTTCGAAAGAGTGAAATGTATCCAAGCATCAGGCCGCCAGTATCCCAGTGTAATCCCAGCAAAACGATTGCTTGGTTTTCAAAAACGATGGATGCTAACGGCTGTGGATGCGTGGATACTCAATTGTTGAATAGAAAATATAAAAGTTCAACTGTTGAAAACACGGAACTCGTGTCGAAAAATGTTTTAACTGGTACAGGCAAAGATATGTTTAATCTATGCAAAATGAACAATCAGCGAAGACAGCAAACACAAAATACCCCCGAAAGGGGTATCAACAACATGCTTGACTGGAGCAAAGTGACTCCCTACGATTTCATGCGAATGCAGAACTGCAAGACGTTCAAGTTTCTCAAGTGCGAGACTTATCCCAGCATCAAGCCACCAGTATCCCAGTGCAGTACTCCGCAGACAGCTGAGTGGTTAGCCGATGTGGTTGAGGACGCTGGCTGCGGACGATACTTTGATATGGAGCAGGACGATGTCATGGACGTCTGGAGAGAAAGCCCAAATAAGCAGACGCTGAGCTACTACGGCGTGGCCTCGGCCCATCACCAACCGGAGGCATTAATGTTCAATAGGGTGATCGCAAGATCTCTCGAAAAGGCAACCGCAGTGAAGCCTGCATCGCGCAAGCCCGAGGTCACAAAACCGCAGATCATGCCATATGCATCATGGCCCTGTGGGAAATTTGTGCTCAATCGTCAGTTGCTGCAGGCAAAAGTCACCAACATGCCCACAGTACAAAAAAAAATTGCCCCAAGCGAGGCATTCACCATGTTGCACTGCCCCCAACCGACAGAAACTGTGCATCCGTTTCTCGAGAGCCAACCCAAAGTTGCTTTAACAAGTGCCCTCGATATGGACCGACCAGTTCCAAAGCCCAAGCACGGGCTTAGGCGCAAACACAAATATTGCGAATTGCAATGTCATATTCCGGAGAATAAATGCACGGACTATGAATGGAGAAAATACAAGCAAGATCCCAAGCCCATTGAAGCGGCCTTTGAGAAGGAGATGGAAGAGATGGAGAAAGGAGAGCCTGAGCCTAGAAACTACGATGAGCTATACTCACACCTAGTGACCTGCTTTGAAACTGAGGACAAGGACCCATTGTGTGATTATTATGAAAAGTGCTGTATGCCTCCCCCGAAACATGCTCCGGAGGTTCCTAGTGGAGGCTCGCGTGTTCCCGAAAAAGGTGTTCACCGTCGCCCTCCCAGAGTCCCTCGCCCCGCAGATGATGACGGTCCTGAAAAACCTGTGGGGCATAAGCCAAAAATACCCAAGCCACCCTCGTTAGTGGGTGCTGAATCTGGCGATGGAACGCAGCCAGAAAAACCAGTCAAAGAAAAACCAATCAAAGAAAAACCAGTCAAAGAAAAACCAGTCAAAGAAAAACCAAAGAAAGAGGAAAAACCAGAAAAGGAAAAACCTGTAAAGCCAGTTAAGGAAAAACCAGAAAAGCCAGTTAAGGAAAAACCTGTGCCTATTGGCACCTCGGAAGCAGACTACCCCCCTGAAGAAAAGAAACCCCCTAAAGAAGGAAAGCCAGACAAACCGGGCAAAAAAACACCTGTAGAAGAGCCTCCCCCAACAGTACAGCCTGAAATTGTACCTGGAGATCAGCAGCCACCAGCTCCCGTTCCAAGCACTAAGCCTGAACTGCCTAAGCAGCCGAGGAGGCCAACTGAAGGAAAGGAAAAACCACCCAAAAAGCATCCAAAAAAACCTAAAAAACCCAAACAAGTTGAACCACCTGTTACAGACCCGTGTAGCCCGGCCAATGACTGTCCCTGTGAAATTTGCGAATTCATGAAACGGCGACAGAAGGAGTCGGATACCCCACTAATTCGTCAACTGAAGCAGGAAGAAAAGCGGCGGCAGCTTCGGGATTACTACAAACGGATGTGCCATCGCGAATATCTCAAGTGGCGGAAGCCTGAGTACCACGCGCCTCAGCACAAGTGCGATGGTATTGTGTGCGACAATTTCTTCTGCCAGAACCCCAAATTAGGGGAGTACTGCGAATGCTTGGATGCCATGCAGAAGCTGCAAAAACTGCTTGGACCCAAACATCGCATTGTAAAGAATGAGCTGATATTCAATGTAGAGGATCTGAGGCGTCGTATATGTAGGCGTTTTTGTGATTGCCTTTAGATATCATTCTCAATGGAATTTGTGTTGTCTAAGAAGTGGGTGTCTAGCAGAATTGCGAACTGGTGTAACTTGGATATTTTCTCGGTGTTAACTTGAAAGTGTGCCTAATATGTTTCGATCCCATTGAGTAAATCAGTATGTTGTTCTTCTTTTGCCAAAACACCCACAGATGAGTTGTCTAAGTACTCAGTATGTGCTACTACTTTGTTTTAGAAGATACAATAGTATGATAGGTCGGAATTTGGACCTATAGCTAGGGATAATAATTTCTCGCATTTAGTAGGCCAAGGGCTCAATGCTTGTAGACAATATATTTGTCTAGACTTTTACTTTTATAACCTTTCAGTATCATGTGTAAAATGGTTTGAATCGAATCAACTCAAAATTTAAGTAATGTACTATTTGCGAAAAATTGGTTTTTAAATTTCAGATTTTATAAGGAGACCAGTTTTATAATATAAATATTAGAATGCTGAAAAAGGAAGGGAAACAATCCCAAAGAATACTTGATTCCTCTCACTTGACGCCATATGATTTGATTAGGAACTGCAAGACCTTTAGCTACTGTGAGGATGAAAGTTATCCTTCGATCTGGCCGCCAATAACTCGGTGTGGTTCTGAGTTTACAAGTCAATGGTTATCAGAAGCGGCTGAGAAAAACTGCTGTGAGAGGCCTGTTAACATGGAGATAGATGATATCGTAGAGGTCTGGAAACAAATCCCGTATAAGGACACACTGAGCTACTACGGCATAGGTGCCGACATTCCGACGCCAGAAGCAGTTGTTTTTAACCAGGCGATTTTGAAATGTCTTGATGAGGTCAAACCGGAAGGGGCTGCAGTAAAGATACCAAAAAATGCGCATATTCCGGTCAGACCACAAAAACATGAAACAAATGCTTGGGGAGCCTTGGTTTTAAATCGTCAGTTGTTAAGTTCGAAAATTACTCAAATGCCCGTAGTGCAAAGAAAGCTATATCCAAAGGATATAGGCTCTTGGCTGCACTGTCGCAGGCCAACTAAGCCCGGGTACCCGTTTATTGAAAGCCAAACCAAGGTACCTCCTACAAGCGCACTTGACATGGGACAACCTGCTCCGAAGCCCAAACACGGTCTTAGGCGCAAGCATATGTACTGTGAATTACAATGTAATATTGCAGAGAATACGTGCACAGATTATGAATGGAAGAAATATAAACAAGATCCTAAGCCACATGAAGTGGCCCTTCAGATGGAGATGGCACAGGTGAAAGAGGAAAAAATAACCGAGCCGAGGAACTACGACGAACTGTATTCGGAACTTGTAACCTGCTTTGAGCAAGACACTAATCCTGATCCTATCTCTGAGATTTACAAGAGGTGCTGTAAGGGAATATCGGAATATGGTCAAGATGATCTTGATGGTGGTTCTCGTGGTGGAGGTGATCGAGAACGAAGACATGGAGATGGAGATGCTGACGAAGGTTCCGATATCGGGAAAACAGCTGGTGAAAGCGACGTTAAAAAACCAGGTGAAGGTGAAGGTAAAGGAGGAAAGAAAGGTAAAGGTAAGGGTCAACGGGGTAGTAAAAGAAAAAGTAAAGGAGGCAGGCGTGGATCGGGTAAAAAGGGTATAAAGAAACAAGTATATAGGGGGGATTTAATGGAACCTGACGGAGAAGATTTAACGCGTGATGGTGGAAAAAAAAACCGATCCGACTCATCAATTTTGCGCGAGTTAGATTTAACAAAAAATGAAATAGAACGTGAGAAAACAGAACTAGAAAAAACTCTTAAGCTAACCCATACCAAAAATAAACGCAAAAAAAAAAGGAAGGGTAGTAATAAAAAAGTTAATAAGCTTGAGGTGTCAAAAGATTGTCCCTGTGATATTTGCAAGTTTATGCAACGTAGACAAGATGAGAAGGACACGCCACTCATTCGTCAAATGAAGCAGGAAGACAAACGACGCCAGCTGCGGGATTACTACAAACGGATGTGCCATCACCAATATCTCAACTGGCGGAAGCCCGAGTACCACGCGCCTCAGCACAAGTGCGATGGTATTGTGTGCGACGATATCTTCTGTCGGAACCCCAAATTAGGGGAGTACTGCGAGTGCTTGGATGCCATGCAGAAGCTGCAAAAGCTGCTTGGGCCCGAACATCGTATTGTGAAGAATGAGCTGATATTCAATGTAGAGGATCTGAGGCGTCGTATATGTAAACGTTTTTGTGACTGTCTTTAGCAATCATCGTTTAAACAGTAAGCCAAATCAAATGAATTTGGGTCTATTTACGAAATATAGATGTAAACCGGTGTGACTTTTTTGTGATACAATAAAATATACATGTTTTTGATAGAAACTTCTGTTTTGTCTTATAAAATGTTCTTGATATGTATGATAAGGTTATGTCCATTTACATCAAAGAGAATTTAAACGTACCCATAATAAATTAATGGGAGAAAATATAATGGCTATATCGAATATAAAATTTGGTTCATGAAAAGCCAGGTAATACTCGCCACTTCCCAAAGGGATAGTCGGTCTTCCGTTAATATTAAGCGGAGAAGGCAAAATAAATTAACTATAAAATGAAATACATTTGATATACACACTATTCTTTATGCTTTATGTCAAATTTGGTGATAGCTAACGAGATTTGCTAAAAACCTGATTTCAATATCGATTTTTATCGATTATTGGAAACAAGATTGTACTGCGCGGTCACTTGGAGCACTTACGTTCCATTTCAAGTCTCCAGCTCTTATAGGTTCAAATTTCCTTTCGTTCATACATACGGACGGATGGAGGGACAGACGGACAGACTGACTGACAGACGGGCAGACGGACAGACAAACGGACATGGCTAGATCGACTCGACTGTTGAGGCTGATCAAGAATATATATACTTTATGGGGTCGGAGATGCTTGTTCAACTCATTTTTAATAGGTTCATGGTATAAAAAGGAGGAGAATAAGAAAAATATCATGAATCACATCGCATCGCCTGCGTACACACCTGTAGCTACAAAGGTGTGAAAAATGGGCTTAAGCTTCTGTTGTGTTCTGTACTAACAATATATAAGTTATAAATTTAAACACATTCATATTTGGGTCGAATAGGGTAACATATTTTGAGCTCCACACATAAAAGTAAATGTAATAAAGACGCACGCATTGGATTTTAGAAAAAAGCATGGCCTACCATAATACAATATTATTTCCTGGGGTAAAATATTGTTATAAGTTTACAGTTCATTATACGAGAAGTTTTAAAGCGAATACATCAAAATTTTTAATGGCAGTATAAGTTTTTAGCATGTTTTAATAGATCTTATGTATTGACATTTTATTATAAAACCAAGGTTAATATAAATATGCAAAGACAAAACACACTAAATAGGAACAGGGACCAGCCAACTACCTACGGTGTCCTACGATTGCAAAACTGCAAGGATTATGCATTTCGGAAGGGTGAAATCTACCCAAGCATTAATCCTCCAGTAGCTTCATGTGGAAATAACGCTACAAATAGGTGGTTGTCTAATGTTGTTAAGGAAACTGGCTGTGGGACCCTTGATCCGAAAATTTTAACAAACCTCAACAAAAATGCATATGGTAACAACAATTTTACTAAGTCCACTCAAGAAGGGATTGATAGTCCCCGCACAGCACGCACATACCTTACCCAACCAATAGAACTTTCCCAAAGGAAACTAGACTATAGCCAGCTAACTCCCTATGATTTAATGCGGATGCTAAACTGCAAGATGGCAAAAGTTCAGGAATGGGAGACTTATCCCAGCATCAGACCTCCAGTATCCCGTTGTAGTGCTGCACTGACTGCTCAGTGGTTGGCCGATTCTATGAGAGATAGTGACTGTGGACGCCCATTTGACATGGAACACGATGATATTGTGGAGGTCTGGAAGCAAAGCCCAAATAAGGACACACTGGGCTATTACGGGATAGGCCCAGATATTCACAAGCCGGAGGCAGTTGTGTTTAACCAGCTCATTTCGGAATGCCTTAAAAGGGTTATGCCGGAAGCAACCAAAGATAAGAAAGCAACAACCATTCCACCTGATGATGAGAATGTGAAGAAACCCAATAAAAAATATGTTCTTAATCGTTTATTGCTAAAGTCAAAAGTTGATAGAATGCCTACTGTACAGGAAGCGCTAGATGCGAGCAAGGCACTCACCTGGCTGCATTGTCCCCGCTTACTGGAAGAAAAGTACCCATTCCTCAAAGGTAAGCCCCACGTCAGACCTCAAGCCGCTTTCGGTATAAAAAAGTTGGTTCCGAAACCTAAGCATGGTCTCAGGCGAAAGCATTTGCTCTGCAAATTGCAATGTGTTCTTCCCGATAATGCATGCACGGAATACGAATACAGAAAAGATCCCAAGTCGTATAAAGAGTTTTGCCGGAAGGAGATGGAAAGGTTGAACGCTGAATGCGAGGAAGAATTCGTAGAGCCGAGGAATTACTCGGAGTTGTATCCACATTTAGTTACATGCTTTGAAAAAAGTTCACATATTAAAGCCCGCAAGCCTAAAACACGAAGCTCGAAGTCGGAGGTCGGGTCGGAAGATGACACCGATAGATCTGTTGATGGTGAAGGTGTTGATGGTAAAGGTGAAGGTGTTGATGGTAAAGGTGCTGGTGGTAAAGGTGCTGTTGGTAAAGGTGCTGTTGGTAACGGTGCTGGTGGCGAACATGTTGGTGGTGATGTTGTCCAACACAAAAAACCGAAAGGCGATGGTAGCACGGATAAGGGTAAGGAAAAAAAACGTTTTGAGAAATCAAGAAAGAAGCCAAAACTGGAAAAATTCCGTCAATCGAAAGAAATACTCAACGATCAAGATAATCCCAGTAAGATATCCGTAACAACCGAAAAGCAACATATAACTTCTTATAAAGAAGATAAACACCCACGCAGAAGGCAAAAAAATCCAACAAGGAAAACCAAAGTCCTTAAAAAGGAGCCGAGCGAGAAGTGCCCCTGTGAGTTATGTCATTTTATGAAACGTCTAAAACGCGAGCCAGACTCTCTGCTCATTCAACAAATGAAAAAAGAACAGAAGCGACGGGAGCTGCTCGATTACTATAAGGGCATGTGCCTTCGAGATCAAATGAAGTATCGTAGTCCCAAGTATCTAGCTCCGCAGCACAAGTGCGATGCCATTGAGTGCGACGACGGCTTCTGCAGGAACCAGAAATTTGGCGAGTATTGCGATTGCCTGAGTGCTATGCAACATCTGCAAAACTTACTTGACCCCAAGAATTGCGTTCTGCGCAATCTGCTCATAAGTCTCAAGGATCGCATTTGCCAGCGCATCTGTGGGTGTCTGTAGCTGCAAAGCCATCAGCGAACTGGCCAAACCGGATATGTTGAGATCTGGCGCGTTGCATATGATTTTAATGTTTTTGTTCATAATAATAAATGTATTTATCTTTAATCAATTGGGAGCGCGGGCTATAAGAATTTTATCCATTTTCACATTCTTACAGATGTTTAGATCGTCTGCTTTTCAGACGGTCAAAATATCTCGTCTCTTTCGTAAATATAGTCAGCCTTTCGCTCGCTTCACGGCAGGTTTATTCTGTTTACATATGCTGCTGGGTTTTAAAACCCCTGTAAAGGGGTTTGTGACCCCACTAATTGTACATGTTTTTAATTAGCATTAACAAACGTGTAAATCAATCTAAGACCTGTATGTTTGTATTAAGAAGTACAAGGTCGTTGTGGCTGGGTACATCTTCTAGTCGAGCACTATTACCTTTTCATCAAATCGCAGCATTTTATCGAATTCTTCCTTCATTCATCGATTTTAAAGTTTTGTACAGAAGTTATATACAATTCAACCAAAAGGGTGTGGAAAGAGTTTCAATTGAAGGATCCTGGAAGATTAATGTCTGTGAACATAGCCTACTTAAATGCCTCGTACGTTCCCTAGCCTATTTTAATTGCCAGTTTTATTTCAGTTTCCAAAATATTTTCAGCTGAATAACCCCAAAATTTTAATTATGCTTTATAGAAAATTAACCGATTTTGTAGATTATACTTCTTGACTTATTTATTTTTACGTGAATTCTCAGAATGCGTAACCGGTCTGTAGACCACCTCGATGCATGCAAATCTTTGCTCATTCAGAACGGCAACACCTTTGCGTTTTGTAACGGTGATAATTATCGTAACATCCACCCACCTGTGTGTCAGTATAATTCTGAGCTCACAGATAAAAGGCTTTCTAATGCGATTAACCATACCAGCTGTAGACCCGTTAAGCTCCGAATAATAAAAAAAAAGCAACAAAGTCGAAATGGGGAGAAAATAAAACAGCTTAAAAGGACCCTCGATTGTGACAAGCAGCCCACCAAATATATGATGCGAAAGCTCAAGTGCAAGACAGCCAATTTTCAGCAATGGCAATCCTATCCCAACATCATACTTCCAAAATCCGCGTGGGCTTCTGGGTTGACAGCAGAAGGTTTGGACAAGGAGGATGACCGTCAGATGCTGTTTGACATGGCACAAAATGATGTCATTGAGGTTTGGAGGCGAATTCCAAATAAGGATACGTTGGGCTATTACGGCATAGGCTCAGACATTCACAAGCCGGAAGCGATCTACTTTAATCTAGTGATCGCAAAATGCTTAAAGAAGGTAACCCTCCGAATCAAAGCCTGACAACCGAAGCGCAATAAAGCATTAAGAAGTGTAATTATTGGAGTTCAGCTTAAGAGATAAATCCCAAAAAGGAGATGCTAAATTGAGATCCTCTTCTGAAATACGTGTCGATCAAAAAATGAAATAATCTGATACTACGCCGATCAAGAACTGTCCCGTGAGATGTCATTTTATTATTGCCTGACTGCCATGCAATATCTGTAAAAGTCGCGGGCCCGCTTGTGGATAATCAGCATCGTTTTAACGACAAACAGCTTAAGGATCGCATATGCTAGCGCCTCTCGGAGTGTCTATAGCTGTAAAGCGATAAGGGAACAGGTCAAACCGGACAAGCGTTCCTCATGAAGTTTAGGTCTTGTTATAAATATATGTATTTTTGAAATTTTAATCAATTGGTGAAGTGGAGGAGGCATACGAGATTCCTTACATTTTAAGGATCTTACTTTAATTTAAAGATCGTCTGCTTTTTAAAACAACAAAATAGAGCGTTCCGGTCGTGCGTTCTGCCAAAGTATTTTGTTATAGGTACTATAATATATTTTAATTCATTGAAAGGTGGTAAATGTCGTATTCCGCTGGATTTAGGGTATCTACTAGTCTGCCACTCTGCACCAGCCAACTGGCCGGCTCGTACTGTTTCAGAAGCTTATGGCTTTTATGACTTTATAAGGGGAATTTTTACTTTTGTGGGACGTATAGGATATGCATGTAAGCATTTGTTTAATAGCTGCGTACAGGGTATCTCCGAGCCTTTCTTATATCGCAACGTCTTGACGAATCATTCTTTCATTTCCAGACTCTAAAGCTTGCTCCAGATGTTTTTATAACACAAAGATCGTCTAATTCTACCAATTTAAATGTGTAGAGTGTAAACATTGAAGGATCCTAGAAGATGTATCGGTAAGCAGCGCCTACTTAAATACTTTGTAAGGCCCCCAGACCAATTCAATTGCCAGTTCTATTTCACTTTTAAAAACATGTTTACCTGAATATATCTCAAAATTTTCGTTATATTGTAGGAAATCTTAACTGATTTTATACGTTTTTATTTCTTGGACTATTTTTAATTTTTATCAAATTAAGGTACCCCAGAATGCGAAAACAACATATGGACCACATCACTCCCTACGATGTGATGCAAATTCAGAACTGCAAGACATTTGCATTTCGTAAGGGGGAATTATATCCCAGCATTATACCGCCAGTGTCTCGGTGCGATTCTGATCTCACAGCCAAGTGGCTTTGTAACGCAATCAACGATTCCGGCTGTGGTACAGTTGAGCCTCGAGTATTACAAAAAATGCAAAAAAGTCGAAATGAGAAAATACATCTTCAAAGGACTCTCGATGATGGTCAGAGCTCCACCGAAGATATGATTCCAATGCTCAAATACAAGAAAGCAAACTTTCAGCAATGGGAGAATTATCCAAGCATCAGGCCTCCAATATCTCCATGTGGTCCTGAGTTGGCAAAGATGTTGGATGGGGCTGTTATGGGCAATGACAGTCAGCGGCTATTTGACATGGAACAAGATGATATCATGGAGGTTTGGAGGCGAAGCCCCAATAAGGATACGTTGGGTTATTACGGCATAGGCTCAGACGTTCACAAGCCGGAAGCTATCGACTTTAATCAGGTGATTAAAAAATGCCTAGATAAGGTTAATCCCCAGCTGGCCAAGGAAAAGTCCAAGACCAAACTTACGCAACTTGCACCTAAAAGTAACGAGCAACCTAAGGAACCTCAAGGAGCATTTCTACTTAATCGTCAGATGCTTAAGTCTAAAATTAATAAACTAATCCCTGAGCATGAAACGCTTAGCGACGCACTCGGCTGGGTGCATTGTACCCGTTCATTTGGCGACAACCAGCCGTTGTTCCGAAGTGAGCCGAAGATCAGTGTCAACGCCGTCCTTGACACTGAACGACCATCCACGAAGACAAAGTACGAGTTAAGACGCAGACGCAAGCATTGCCAAGATGATATTGCCGCAAACCAATGCACAGAATTCGAACGGAAACGAGATCCAAGTCCATATGAACTGGCGTACCAAAGGGAGATGGAACAGTTGGAGAAGGAAATCGAAGCAGAGCCGAAGAATTACGATCAGCTGTACTCGCAACTAGTCACATGCTTTGAAAAGAATACCTACACAGATCCTATTTCTGAAGCTTACAAGTGCTGCCAGAAATCTTCAGTGGTTGAGGATGAGGACGATGGCGCTGGTGCGTCCGGTGACGGTAGAGCTGGTCGAGATGCAGGTCATCGTTCTACTAAGACAGCTGATATGGGAGCTGGTGATGGCACTGGTGTTCCAGTTGGGGCAACTGGTGGTGCAGGTGAAGGAGCAGGGAATGGTGCAGGTGGAGGAGAAGGAGATGGTCCTGGTGGTGGAGCAGGAGATGGTGCAGTTAAAGGGACTAAGCCATCCATAACTAAAGCTTATAAACAGCCGAGAAAATCGTCTAAAAAATCTGGCCAAAACAAAGCTGAAAGAAAACAAAATGGCACTCCATTAAAAAAAAATTTCGAACTATTTCGTAATACTTCCCAGTCTGGGAGTGGAACTATTCCTTCTATTTCGGTCGATAAACCAAGCGGTCCAGAGCCTTCCCGAGTGTCTTTGCAAACGAAAGAGCGTCCGGGAACGAAAATGCGCTTAAAGCGCAAAAAGGGCAGGAAAGCCAAAAAACTAATCGGTCGTTCAGAAAATGACAATGTACCGATTAAGGATTGCACTTGTGAAGTTTGCAAGTTTATGGATCGTCGAGAGAGTGAGCCAGATTCGCCGCTCATTCGCCAAATGAAAGGCGCAGCAAAACAACGTGAGCGTTGGGAATACTTCCATAGCATTCGCCAGCACATGAAGTTCTGTGGGCCTGAATATCGTGCCTCTCAGCACAAGTGCGCTCCTATAGCATGCGACAACAGCTTTTGCTATAACCGCAAGTGGAGTGAGTCTCTTGACCGTTTGGCAGCATTGCAAAAGCTGCAGAGGTTGATCGGTCCCAGGTACGAAAATATGGATCGTGATGTTCTCGACAAACTAAAGTTTCTCAGAAATCGTATATGCCAACAAATGTGCGACTTTATAACGATGCAAAGGACCAAGCGAAATATTTGACATTCAGGATCTTTTGATACATTTTACAATTGTTGACAACGTTATTTTACAATAAAATTGTGTTTTATAAGACATCTTTTTGATAAAAGCAACTTGGCATGCTAGGATTTGGTAATTTTGAATAAAATTTCTTACGCAGTGCCTACTTGACTACTATTTTTCTAACTGGGTCTACAATTGTGACATTTTAAAGCTTATAATATAAAATGTTTTGCAACGACAACACGTAAAATTTAAGTAATGCAATAGAAAAAAAAACCTCAAACGTTTTTGGATTTCAGCACTAGATTTCATCATCTACCGTAGAATCTGAGCAAAGATGTCCAACCAGCAAGAACATTCTTCCGAGGAATTGGAGCAGACTGAAGAGGGGTTAGACTACAGCCGGCTTACGCCCTACGATGTGTTGCGTATGCAGAACTGCAAATCAGCCCGATTTGTGAATAGAGAAACATATCCCAGTATCAGGCCGCCAGTGTCCAGGTGTAGCAATGAGCAGACGAAGATATGGTTAGCTGACGCTGTCCAGTATATTGGCTGCGAGCGGCCTTTTCGCTCGGAGAAGGAAGATAGCATCCTAGAGATGTGGAAGCACTCCCCAAACAAGCACACGCTCAGCTGCTATGGCTTGGCCTCAGATATCTATCAGCCAGATGCAATCATTTTTAATCAGGCTCTTACCAAATGCCTTGATAAGGTCAACGGTGTAGAGCCAAAGTGCAAGAAGTCAAAGAAGACACCTAAGAAACCCATGAAACAACCCAAGCCAAAAGGAGCCTATGTGCTCAATCGTAGCGTGCTGAAGTGCACCATCAATAGTATGCCTACTGTAATGAGAAAGACAAATGCAAGCAGTGCCAACACCGTGCTTTACTGTCCCGAGCCAGCAGACCCAGAGAATCCCTTCACCGAAGATGAGCCATTCATTCCTCTACAACGCGCACTCGACATGGAAAAGCCAGTTAAGAAACCCAAGCATGGACTTAGGCGAAAGCACAAGTACTGCGAATTGCAATGTGGTATTGCCGAGAATAAATGCACGGCCTACGAATGGATGAAGTACAAGCAAGATCCCCTGCCGTACGAAGTGGCATTTGAGATGGAGCTGGCCGAGATGGAGGATGTAAAAGAACCCGAGCCGAAAAACTTTGACGAGCTTTACTCGCAGCTGGTCTCCTGCTTCGAGAAGAACCAATACGAAATTCCCGCCTGCGAAGTATATGGAAAATGCTGCAGGCGCCCCTCGGATCGCAGGGTCATTCAGGGTTGCGGCGAAGATAAATTATTTGGACCTTGTGGTAAGTTTCGTGAATCCAATTAAGATTGGGGAAAGACTTTTGTAAGAAATGTGAGGGATATTGTAAATAAGGTTTCACATATAATGAGACAAGACTAGAGAAAAGGGTATATATGGAAAGTGGAAAAGAGAAAGGCGAAGAGAAAGCTAGTATACCTTCAGTAATGGAAACACAGGGCAACATTGTAATCCTTTTATCTCTATCAAACTTTTATTTTATCATTTGTAAAGTCGGTCTTTTTTGATGATTTTTTGTAAAATCTCAGCCAAAAAATGTCAGATTTTGGAATTGTATACCATTTTATACTCGGTAGGATCAGTACTAACGATTGGCATCAAAAAAATGAATATCTAAATTTTGACTAAAATTGACCAAATGGCAAGGGGTTACATCACGTTTTTTGCCAAATTCGGGGTCGGCTCGAAAATCAAAATATTTTTGATGATTTGTTTTGAATATCTCGGCCAAAAAATGTACGATTTTGTAATTTTACCCCTTTTTGAATTTGTATGGATCCCTACTATAAATTGGCATGAAAACATTTTAAATATCGAGTTTTAGATTTTAATTTCTTATATAACATTTATGAAAAATGTAAAAATCACCTTTACTCTAGCCATAAAATATCTAGGGCATGTTAAATTTGATTTGATGCTGCATTTAGTGTGTTTACCTTGTAATCTGCGAAAAGGGACACCAAAGGGAAAATGTCAATAGACGCTGGGAAGAAAACAGCATACATTAATTAATAAAGATGAGAATCCCAAGCAAGCTTTAATAGGTAAGGCTTCAGGCTAAGCACAAGCACAAGCTACCTTTTGTCGGCTTCTCGCTCATTTTATTACCCTTCCGATATTCTCCGAGCACATTGCATAATTCATTTAAGGACACAAATCTCTTTAGGCGGCTCCGAGGCATATCTTTTTCGCCTGCCCTTGGCGTTCCCTTCATTGCCGGCGTTCCACGCTTCAGCGAATTTTAATAAAATCGCATTCCATTTCGTTTCAATGCAGCAGCAACAAAAACAGCAGCAAAAATATAAGTTAAAAATTAATTTTGCTGTGCCGCAAACTAAATACTCTTGCAAACATGTTCGTTTTTTATAAAATATATGTGGAGTTAATCTAAATCGAAGTACATTCAAAAGAGGGAGTCCCTATATGGCAACCAATCAGGCTTTGGTTTTATAACAAACTCTAAGCAAAGAAAAAGCGAATATTTATATTTATTTGAGGTCTATCTGAAAATATTTTTATGTTCCTTATAAATCAAAATGTACTTTTATATATTTGAACGAATATCAAACGATTTTATAACTTATGGAAGTTGTAACTGGTCTGATTTATCAAGAGCAAACATTATAAAATATTATATAAGAAGACAATCAATCAGAAATTTATTTACTGCGAGTATCCCTTTCAGTGGGTTACAGATTTTACGACCAAATCAAAAAACTCTTGCGTAAAGAACATTTTTAATCAACGTGAGCCAAAAAAAAAAGTAAAAAAAGACAACGCCCTACAAGCGCACACACCCACACACATACACACACCCACACATATACATTTAATGAAAAAGAGTTAAGTGGACAGGAGGAGAGGGTTGTTGGCAAGGGGCATAGCTTCCAGTTGGATTTTCTACAGACTTTTAAATTGACTTTATGCACCGAAACATATGCAGCACTTTTTGCAACATTCCAAGTTAATCATCACATATTTACTATCTACTGTAAGTGGGTGTGGCATGCGCCCCTCTCCCCGTTCTCTGCGTCTTTCTCTCTCGTTGCATTTAATTAATGCAACGATTTCGCTGTCCATTTCGGGGCCGAAGCGAAACTCATTTGGCGTTGCCTCTTGGCCCACTGCACGCTAAGAGTGGCCAAGTATTTGGCAGAGCATGAGGGGAATATGGGAATGGTGGGTGTGGCATATATGAGCTATACGCGCAGCCCGTCAACTGCCAGGCCCATTGACCTAGGTCAAATATGCAGTTCCAACAGTTGCCACAGGACACCGCGCCGTCATCTGTGGAGAGGGCGAAGGGCGGAAGAGGGGGCGTAGGACTCTAAAACCCCAACGTCGAGAGATTTTTTTATGTTTTGTTTTGTTTTGGAAGGGCGCTCAGCAAGTCGTGAAAAGTCAGAGCAAAAAGTCGAATGTTTTTTTTTTTTTGCTTTTTGTGGGCAACGAGGCTTTGTTGGATTTTTTGTTAGATTTATTGTTGTTGTTGTCGTTTCCTATTTGCCGCTGGCAGGATACGCTTGCCGGCTGGTTGAATCGTCTGTCCCTGTTCGGTCGCTTCCTTATGCCAACGTTACGTAAAATGCTTTTTACGCTCAATTCCTTGCAAAAAGTTCTGGGGAGTGGGCACAGCAGGAGTGGGGCACAGGATCACATGCATGTTGCCGTGTCATTGCAATGATAAATGTATTTGGTCACACACACATAGATATCTGGCATACTAGCACCCACATAAATAGACACACACTCACAGCGAAGCACTAAGTACACACAATGAGCATTTGTGCCATGAAAAGAAAATTGTGTGAATCGACCAAGAAGTCGAATGGCGCCCATAGCACATATTGTTCAGAACGAAAAATAACATAAAACAGAAGCAACTGCAACACGAACTAGACCAACAAATATGGCGACACAAAACAATGCCAATAAGGCAGCACACACTAGTCGCATTTGTTATGGATTTTGCCGCCGAAAAACTGGACACAACGCACGTGAGCTGGCTAAACAAACTCTGTGTAAAAGATTTTTCAAAGTTGTGGATTACGCGTGCCTACCTGAACAATAGAACTTTTGTGGCACATCTTTTCCCAGCCTGTAATTGGATTTCAATTGTTGTTGGCGGCAAAAATCAAAAAGCAATTTTTATTAGCTCGTATTCGAAACAGCTTTGCAAATGTTTGCGTCGCAGGCGACCAACCGTATCCCATACAAATATACAAACATGCCACAATGTTCATTCAATCCGAGACCCGAATCACCAGAATAATACATATTTTGCCAAAACTATGTTTACTAACAAACAAAAATGAAGCCAAATACAGCACAAGGCACGCTTCAAGTACATAGTACATGCATATATAGAATATATACATGTACCATTTTTACATGAATTTTGACCAGTAAAATTGTTGTCAGATTAAGATGCAAAATTGAACTAGAGGTAAAAGCATGAACAAAAAGCCAAATCTGATAAGATTTGATGTATGTTTGTATGACATGTGCACATGGTTAATGTTACAATAAAAAAACATTAAACCTGAGACTTTTGCTTAAATTCTTGATAATCGTATAGTAGGGCGTTCTGGATCGCTAAGTTTTTGTCTTAAAATGTTGAAGTAAAATCTTTCACACAACTGACACCATATTTATAACAATTATAACACTGTTATCACTGTATGTTTACTTATTTTATTCCAGGATGCAATTGCGTCGGGAACTTGGTGAATTAACTAGATGAAGAAACAAACATTTGGCATACGCACCTTTGGCTTTTTGGCATATTGTCCGGTGCGCACATCGCGTATTGTGGCAATATCCAGTATGTCGAGCTCATTGTTTTGATCGACCCAATATAGAAAAAATCCTTTGGCATCTACGCGCATCGTCACCGGCGTACCACTGCCCGAATCCTGCAATGGAAAATCGATGAAAAAACATATGTCTTAGTGCAAGATCTGTGTATGAGGTTTTTTTGTAGTAATAAAAATGAAATTCCATTTGCGCCCAAATCTCCGTTGACTTCGGTTCGTTCAACTCGCCGAGACTAATGAATTTATTACACCGAATTTCGCTTTCCAATCGCCCACAAAATGGCCAAAAAGAAAAAGTCATCTCTGCTCATTATTTAAGTCAAATTAAATGGGCCTGTAAAATGATGTGCACTGTGCCCCTGTCCAACCACCCCCAGCACTCCGACTCGTCTGCTGCTTGTCATAAATATTTGAGCATTCATTCATAAAAACCAAAAGAAAAGAATGCGAAATTTTCTCATGTTGGCCGCAGCTGGCGGCCTGGCAATGGCAAACAGATGCGTTCGGATAAAACATCGCGAGCCAAAAATGAAATATTTTATTTTTTATTTAATTTATTTTGTTTTTTTTTTTTTTCGTTTTGGTTTTGTTTTTAATATATTATATGCAAAACAGACGCTACGAGACGTTCGTGAATTTTGAAGATCTTTCAGGCAACTGAGGAAGCTGTCTTAAATTTTCTTGGAATCTTCCTACTTTCAGATGCGTTAAATGGCGCGTAAGAAACGAAATACTTATTGCCGATGCAAATTATACAGATATTTGTATTGTATTGCGAAACGTGCTTTTTCTTCAAATTTAAGACATATTCCACCAGTTTTCCGCCCGTGATGGTGAATTTTACAAAAAGCGTACGAGGGCTTCAAATAAGTTTTCCCAAATAATTTTGCAAATGAGCTTAAAACCGATCGGATGCCGAACAAAAGTTTTCCATGCTGCCCAAACATCCTTTGGCCCTCATTTTCCACATAGTAGGGAAGGACTTAAAACACCCCAAATTAAATTACAATTTAAAATATACATGAAAGTTAAAATTTGGCTAAAATATTCTTAATTGAATTTAACAGGAGCAAAATCTCAATTTTGCACGGACTATTTAATTTAAAACAATCTAGGAAAAGTTGCCACTCTGTTTACGGGAGCAACAGCAAGAAATGGGCAATTGCTAATGCAACTGAAATTTGGGGCAATCACGTGCAAAGACTTTAAAACTGTAGAGGGAGGTAGTAAGCGCAGCAGGCGTGTCTGGAATATTTTGGACATTAAAGGGATCAAGCAGTAAGCTTCTTGTTAAAATTGTTGACTACAAAACAAATGTTTTCTATTTCAGACTGTGAACAGAGTAAGCACCAAGAAATTAAATGGAAATTGTTCAAGCTATTTGCTTTTGGGCAAAAATAATGACTAATTTTTTATGCCATCTATAAAATTTTACGATTTAAAACATAAACTGAGAAATTTTTATTATGAAAATACATGAGCCTAAGTGATGCGTATATATTCATATGAAATACAACTGAAACTTTACAAAATAGAATTTAAGAGTAAATACCCAACGTAAAATCATTTATAAGCTAAACTTTTTATGATGATTACTTGTCAAGGGCTAAAAGCCGAAAGAAATATTGGTCCATGGTTCGAACCAATTTCTTTGCTGCGGGGCATCTCAAAAGTTTGCTATATAAAGAAACAAGGAATTTTTGAAGGAAAAAATGAATTCCTCGCTTAAAAAATTCCTTGATTTATAAGCAAACTCTAAAAAGTAACCAGAAGAGGAAATATGCATATCTGCAAAGGAAATATTCATAAGTACTATTCTCTTGTTCACAGTATTATCTCTTGTGTCTGGGCATTGTCTAAAATTGGAATCAAGCCACTTTGACCTGCCAAACGAAGCCTGAAATATGATCATTAGCATTAGAGAATAAGTGTTATTTTGGTCGGAAATTGATGAGCATTAAAATAGTCGTAATGAGCAAGTTTAATTTGCAGCAGCTCGGAGTTCATTATCCGTCCTGTTGACGTTGGTTTAATGAACTCACAAGGTGGCAAAAATGGCTACAATTTCACTCTGGGAATGGGGACGGCGCTCCACGCTATTTTCCACAGCCCCATGTCCATTCTAATAATTGATATTGAAAACATTTACTTGCACTAGAAATATGCGCAGGCGAGGGTGTGTTTGAGGGTCATTTGGGATTCGAGTAAGGTTTGGTTCATTTCCTTCTGAACTCCTCTCCCGCTCCTGCAACATTTTTATTCAATTAAGCGCATATTTTGTGCAGATTTTGGGGCTGCCATCAGAAAAAGGGTTGCGCATCGCTAATTGGACTACAGTTTAACCCCATGCTTCCCAAACACTAGATATGCCCCGCTTGAATAAATCTTGTTTTTTCTACTTTTCTAATTACTTCTCACTAATTGAGCTGCCAGCCAGCCAACGACCCGTTCGTTGATTTGTTTTCAATAAGCAAAATTCGCTGCTAACCAACACTGCCAATCGAATTGACAAATATCCAAATGGCCTGCGAATCGACTGCGAAATGCGAAAATTTCAACTCGTGACTAAAAAAATGGCAAGCAACAGACGCTTGTCTGGCTCTAAAGCTTGTTTGTGTGCGCGTTTGGGCTAAGAGCGATTACATGCATAATTCAATTGTAACAGCCTGCCAGCCCCGCCTTCCCATAGATGCTGGCAAAGCAAAGGGATAAATGTGCTCGCAGCTGTGCCTCAGTTACAGATACATTTAGAGCCAGAGATACAGATATATCTAGAGATACAGTTGTATGCATATTGTATTGTCAATCATGCTTAGGGGCCTGCCAATAAAGCCGGCAAGTGCGTGCGTTTCTCTGAGTTACAGTTGCCTCTACGCAGAGCGTCAACTGCTTTGGGGACTATGCAAATGCTATTTGGGATTACCCAGCTGCTGCCAGGCAATCTGTATGCGTGTGCGTGTGTGTGTGTGTGGGAATTTTACTACCCTTTCCTTAACACTTTTGGCAGAGTTGAACTATTGGATAAAATAAGTGTGTTTCAATGCTTGACTTGGCAATACCCGGACTACAGAAGTATCTATTACAGATTTACACTTGATTCGCAATATACTTTTCGTAAATACATTTACACATTTTTAATTCCTCAGCAATAGTTTGACAATAATACGACATTCATTTTTTCTCTCCCAAGCCAAGCAATTTACTGTGTCATTGTTTCATTTTTCCCATTGATTAATAATCGTTATGTTTTGCAACGCAAAAAGAATTCGTATCTCTGGCTCTAACAAGTTCGCGAGTCATGTGATTCATTTCTGCTGCTAAGATAGAATAACTTTTAAGTTTTAGCTGCACATATGAAATGCACTCTTCGAAATACCAAAATTATATACTAACAACCTTTTTTAAATAGATGATCTGATAAAAATATAAACTTTAAACACATGAATGTAGAAAGGAGGCCGTGAGTATTTCGTATGTTATCTGCTCTGAGCCTTAAGAACATATATGTATACCCATATAATAATTGAATCGCATCTTAGCTGCCTTCATCTCTAGCTAACTGTGTACATAAATATTGTGCAGGGTATACGAAGCAGCTTCAGCATCTGCAACTTCAAACTTCATGCAAATGATGTCATAAAAATGTAGACAGCCTCCACGTTTGTCACCTGTGCAAGTTTGTCGAGCACTCGAAACTAGATGCTCGAGTTGCTCTTGTTGGTTTAAAGTTTTGCGAGGCACTTATTAAGTATACGCAGAGTGGTACACTCCAACAAAATGAAGCCAGTCCCATGCAGCAGCAGCAGCAGCAGCAACAGCTGTCAACGTCTGTCGGAGCTCTAGGTAAATTAAGATTGATGTACGCAACGTGTACAGTTGCAGAGCCACTGCAATTTGACCCTGCACGCGCAGCAGGTGCCCCTAGAAGTTGACATCAGCTAGAATCTACGATTAGGAATGCTCGATCCACACAAATTGGGCTATCGAACTTATGGGGCTTATCGAGCAGTTAATTGACCATTGGCGATATTGTTAGTCTGTACCCGATATCTAGGGCTGAATTTTAGAGATTAGATAGTTGTTGTTTGCTTTAATTGGCGACAAGTTTATTACGCAAAGATCAGAGCTGTAAGACGTTAGCTTAAAGACTTCACTGTTCGCTGCTCAGTTGAGCTGGTAGTAGGCGCTAATTACTTGGTAGATCCAATCCACATAGGCGGGCACCGAGGTGAAGACCGTCGGCCTATTGGCATAGCCGCAGGGCATATAGCTCCAGGAGCCCAGGCCCGCCAGTTCAGCTGGTCCGTCGATGGGCCAATAGACCAGGGGGCTGCCGCCATCGCCATAGCATGCCTGTACCTGGGCGCACACCTGCCTCTGCGAGAGCGGCGCATCCGTGGGCAGCAGCTCCGCGCAGCGCGTGCTGTTCATCAGCGCGGAGAATCCATATTGTAGCTCCTTAGAGTACGCATCACCGTCGACATCGGTCAGACCCCAGCCGTAAACGGTGGCCGTCTTGCCGCTGTAGTCCTCATCCAGATCCGGCAGCGCTATCTGCTGCACACGCGCCGAGTACACAAATGACTCAGAAACGTGAAGCAGGGCGATGTTGTCGCTGCCGGCCTGGCCGTTGAAGGAGCGATGCGTCGAGGCAAAGTCCACGTAGCGCACCTGGGCGTCGCTCACGTTGGCGCGATTGGAGAGGCCCGCATAGACGGCGTTGCCAATGATCTCGCCATTAAAGCTGCGCCACTCCTCGCAGCAGTGGGCAGTCGTGAGGATCCAGCGCTTGCCAATGATGGCACCTGCGCACTGATGACTGTAGGTCAGCGGGGTGAGGCTCAGCGAGACAAGGTAGGGCGCATTGTCCACGCCCTGCACATCGAATCCATCAATAATGCGCGACGTTATTTCCATTGCCTGCTCGTTCTGCATCTTCTGCATTATACTCTCCACCACTGATGCGATATTCCTCTCAGCCAACTCCTCATAGTGACCCGACAGCAGGTGCTCCAATTGGGGTACCTGAGACCTGGCCTTGGCCTGCGCCAAAAGTGGCAGCAAGGCTAACAAAATTTTTACCACCAACATAACGTTACGAATCGTTGCGAACTGCGATTGTTGTGAACCATTCCCGGAAGCTCTCAACACTTATATACGTAGTCGTCCAGTGGAGCTTTACGATAAGCAGTGAGGGTAACAAGTGCGATTAGTATTGAAGCAGAGAGATAGGGAGAGCGTGCAGAGACTAGAGATGGCAGCGTGTTGGACTTTTCTGCAGTTGCCACAAATTGCAAATTTCCACGTTGCTTAATGATTATCATTGTTTATTTTTTTTCTATCCATACATATTCCATTTAAGCATTTTTAAAACTAGAAGAGAAACATTTTTTTTTTCAAAAGGTTGTTGACGTTGTGCGTGTTCGCAATCACGAAGGGAAGTCACGACCCGCTAAAAGTGTAGCAGAGCGAGAGAGAATTTCCCTTTTAATTAACACCTTGATATAGGTTGGGATATTTGCAATTTTCACTGCCTCAATATATATTGCTATTAATTCATGTTTTAATTTCGTTAGTTTGATCAATCCTTGGGTCTTTCAAGAAAATATTGCTATATCTTCCACAATTCTTACGTACGAAATTTTTAAATTTTGATAATGGTTCACAGACCAAAAGAATTATTCACTAACTTTTGAATATGTCTTTTGATTCCTTGGAATATGTCTCCCTGTTTCTTTTTATCATGGTACTAACAATCAAATTTCAAACTGCCCTATGCTCCTTTAACATGTACTAACTTATATCAGCATCGGATTTCTATATCATTGAGCACCTATAGGAACAATTGGCCGAAAATCTGGATTTTTTCTTGCTCTAAATTATTTTAAGCTATATACAATTATCTCTAAGCCCCCTTTTCGAGATATCTATCCACTTGTTAGATACTTTGCTCTTAGAACTCTTAATATTACTAAAGCCTTTTCTTCTTTTGATTTCCACAAAGACAATTAATGAAAGCCTAATTGGATTTTGATATTAAGCGGATTATGTCCTTCTAAGAAACATTTGAATAGATTAATTTAATTGTAGAGAGCTTGTAAAGATTTTTTTTTTTTAAATTCAGCGTGGCCGCAGTTTAGTCAGGCGCTTATTAGAGGATTCTTTGTGCCTGGTCGGAGCTTAATTATCATCGTTTAGCTGGTCTTCAAAGTGGCATTCATGCCACATGTTCTGTACTTTCCTCGCCGTTGGGCTTTTCCCTGCGCTGTTTAGTTATATGTGTACACATTTGTTTGAGGCGCATGTGTGTGGGTGTGTGTGTGTGTGTTTGTGTGCGTGCGGTTGCACAAAGTCCAAGGCCCGCAGCGGCGTAAAATTTGCTTTTAATTGGCTAAGCCCGTAAAATGAACACCATCTGCCGCGGGCCAAGCGCCGGACATTGTCCACTCTTTTATGTAACCGCCAAGGACGCGTATCCCTTTATAGACAAACACACACATACGTATAAATATATATATTTAGCGGCCTTTTATGAGAGGGGAACTTAGGCTCGGGGCGACCTTGCACGCGTGGCTTGTCAACACCTTAGAGCCCACATTACACATGCTAAAAATATAGCAATTATCGAGGGCCCAACACGTACAACGTGTAGGGATTGTAGAAACTTGGGTTTCTGGTTCTACATAATGCTTTTTAGTATTTTTAATGGCACGCTTCTTTGGAATCCCTATCCTTATCAGCTGGATTTGTTGGATTAGCTTAATTTCGGTTGGTTTGGAAAAATCAAGTCATAAAATTATATTATTATAATCATTATCGTAAATCCATCTTTTAATCGGCCGATAACAACGAACTATAAAAGTTCGCTGTCACGCCAACGACTCAGTCATTCGGCGTCCATTGCTTTGAGCAGAATGAAAGTACTCGCTGTTACCCTGTTTGCCCTGCTGGCTGCCAGCGCCCAGGCTGGCAAGCTGACAGATACCTTGGCCAAGGTTATTCCCAGCTTTGCCACCGGATTTGTGATCAACGGCACCGAAGCCGATCCCCATGCGGCACCCTACATTGTCTCACTGGGCACCAAATTCGACAAGCACTCGCACATTTGCGGAGGCACCATCATCAACAAGGAATGGATCGTCACTGCCGCTCACTGTATCTCCCAGCCGGTTGGCATGAGCGCCATTGCTGGTCTTCACAAGCGCGCCGAGGTAGACGAGCGCACCCAGCACCGCCAGATTGACTTTGGCCGCGTCCATGAGCAGTACACCGGCGGCGTTGGTCCTTTTGATATTGCCGTGTTGCACGTGAGCGAACCCTTCGAGTTCAACGAGTTTGTCGGCCCAGCTACCCTGCCCAGTCGTGAGGAGATCCACGAGGGTGAGACCCATCTGTACGGTTGGGGTCAGCCCAAATCCTACATTTTGACTGCCGCCAAGACACTGCAGACCGTTACCACCGAGATTGTCAACTACGATAAGTGCAAGGAGGTTCTGCCCGCCGATGCCCCTCTCGCTGAGAGCAATGTCTGCTCCGACTCCCTGCAGCAGAGCATCTCCGCTTGCAACGGTGACTCCGGCGGCCCACTGGTCGTTGAGCACGAGGATGCTGCCTCTGAGCTAATTGGTGTTGTCTCCTGGGGCTACATTCCCTGTGGCTTGGCCAACTACCCCTCAGTTTACACTCGCGTCTCTGCCTACATCGACTGGATTGCCAAGATCCAGAGTGCCTACTACATTCTGAACTAAGTTCTTAAACTTTTTAATAAACGAACTTGACTCTGGTCAAGTCCAGTTGGATTATTAAGGACAAATTGCATTTTTATAAAGCATGTGATCTTCATATGTCACCATACCTAATAACAATATACTATCTCCGATTATTTAATCTAATCTCCGATAATTATTGGCTAATTTTGGCTGGATTAGTGTAGCTTTTTATGGACTTTGGTTAGGGCACGTGTACCTTGTTAAGGGGCGTATGTTAATAGATTAGCTAAAAGCAAGTTAGATCGTTTGGGTCGGGGAGAAATGACTGTTGAATACTTTGTTTATTGTGTTATTATAATTTTAGATCGGTCGAGAAGAGGGAAAAGAGTCTGATTATTATAATTTTAAATCAGCCGAAAAGAGTTTGGAGTAGTGAATGTAAAACTGTAAGCACAAAGAAGTTATTTTCAAATTGTAAATTTAACAAATATCAATTTCTGCAATTAGTGAAAGGGACTTTAATTTAAAACGGATTTAAACGTACACTTTATGAAAAGAATATACTCTTTTTCACTTTGTGAACAGAGTACAATTATCAGCTATAGTATTGCAACCAATCGGAGCACACGCAAGAAACTTTTATTGAGTTATCTATAAGTGTCTAGGAGTTTCTTGTTCCTATTGGCCACCTTTTGTTGGTTCATGTTTCCGAGCTATATCAATAAATTAATGTGTCTGAAGATAAGCAGTATTAAGTAAATGGCTTATATAAATACATTTGTAGAATTTTTGCAAAATCATTTTATGCAGCATAATTGAATAAATATGACTTTGAATTCTGCGTATTTTGCATAAATATTAAAAGGATTCCTGATATGTAAATTTCCTAGAAATGGTTGACTGACAAAATAGGTTTTTAATTGGTAATATTACGTATAAATATATAATATACCGCTTATTAGCTATTTCATTCCTTTGGAAAATATTTAATATAGTATATGCGATATTGATACCATTCTGCTTATACAAAGAGAGCATACTGAAACTATTAAATGATGAGATAGGCCAATATATCCTGAAAACAAAACAGGGTTTGCTATGGTTGACTATAGTATAGCAATCCAATCTGACCGGTTTGGACATATGTACTGCCTGTAAAAGAAAGCTTAAATCTTAGGGCCCAGCTTGCATTTAAACATACAGGCCCATAGACAAACATCGTTAAATCGCTAAATGCTAACCTTTCGTTTTTCATCAGCAAAGTTATTTCCAAAAGTCTAAGATACTTTTCATCTCAGGTGCCAATAATTGACTCTTAGGTAACTTTTCTAGACTTTTCTTGAAAAGCACTAAAGATGTGCGAAAACTGAATGTCTAATCGATATATATAAAACTTGCAGTTTCTGTTGAAAGCTTTTCCATAATAAATGATGGAAGCAAACGAGTACATTTTCTTAAATATTCTTTCAATATTCGAATTATGTATTGCGGTGGTATTCTTAAGTTATCGAAACTATCGGACGGAGTTTCGGACCATCGCTCTTCGTTTGCCAGGGTTGTCAAAATATTGCAGTGGGCTGCTCGCTATTTAAATCTTATCAGGCGATGAAAGATCCCAATTAGCTGATTAGTTGGAATATTGATAGATGGGAATATTTGTGTAATAAAATATGATTATCGTCCTAGGGATATCTGTATCATAAATCTATCTGCTAATCTGCCGATAATAAAGCTTCTTCTTCCGGGCTGATGGCCCTATAAAAGGTTGTATCTTATCATTTGGTTCATAATTTCAAGGCATTCAACCGGAATGAAAGTACTCGCTCTCACACTTTTGGCTCTTTTGGCAGCCAGTGCTCAGGCTGGCAAGCTAAGCGATACCTTGGCCAAGATTATTCCCAGCTTTGCCACTGGATTCGTGATCAACGGCACAGAAGCCGATCCCCATGCGGCACCCTACATTGTCTCCCTGGCCTCCAACTTCAATAGTCACTCGCACAGCTGCGGAGGCACCATCATCAACAAGGAATGGATCGTCACGGCCGCTCACTGCATCTCCCAGCCGGTTGGCATGGGCGCCATTGCCGGTCTGCACCAGCGCGCCGAGGTAGATGAGCGCACCCAGCGCCGCCGGATTGACTTTGGCCGCGTCCATGAGCAGTACACCGGCGGCGTTGGTCCCTTTGACATTGCCTTGTTGCACGTCAGCGAACCTTTCGAGTTCAACGAGTGGGTCAGCCCAGCTATCCTGCCGGGTGTTGAGGAGATCCACGAGGGTGAGACACATCTGTACGGTTGGGGCCAGCCTAAGTCCTACGTGTTTACGCCCGCCAAGACTCTGCAGACCATTACCACTGAGATTGTCAACTACGATAAGTGCAAGGAGGCTCTGCCCGCCGATGCCCCTCTCGCTGAGAGCAATGTCTGCTCCGACTCCCTGCAGCAGAGCAAATCCGCTTGCAACGGTGACTCCGGCGGCCCACTGGTCGTTGAGCACGAGGATGCTCCCTCTGAGCTAATTGGTGTTGTCTCCTGGGGCTACATTCCCTGTGGCTTGGCCAACTACCCCTCAGTTTACACTCGCGTCTCCTCCTACATTGAGTGGATTGCCAAGATCCAGAGCGCCTACTACATTCTGTATTAACTTGTGAATTTGATTAATAAATTTTGCCTCTAATTAATATTTAATGCGCAGAAGGAAACATCTCTATACTTAGAAGGTACCAACTCTATAGAGCCTTATGCAGATGTTTCTGTGTCTCTAAGAACTACTTTCATAGTTTTTAAATATGTATCTTAATAAAATTATTAATCGATTCGATCATATTGCTACTCTTGGAACTGTCGCTTGAACACCGTAAAACGAATTTAAAATATATAACTTCCAAATAATGAGGCTGAGGTACGGTATTATTTTTACGATGTTTGTGACGAAGCTTGTTAATTATACAATCTGGCAACACCAAAAGGGAGTAGAGTATGTTTGCGAAATATGCTGTGGCTTTGTGAAATAACTTAAGTTGGGTGACATGGGAAACTTTTTCATTTCGGCTTGGACAAGCCTTTCAAAATTTACCCAATCTGATGTCAGCGTTAGCTACTCGTAGATTTCTATTACTATTACAAACATAGAACTATTTGTTCAAGCACACAACTATTAAAATAACGCAATCTGGCAGCACTAGGAACTTGTGTGCCATTGTTAAGTTGGCTGCGGCAGCGCTTACTTAATATGGGCAACGAGCTATTCAGATATTATATTTATACCCCCCGTAAACGGTTGTAGATTCCGATTGCAAGACATCCAATAAATTGTGATCAGCTGTGTCACTTGTCTGCTCGATGACCACATCGAGAACTTTTCAAACGCTCCTATGCTTTACAACGCGCGCCCAATCAGACACATGATCTTGCAGAAATGAAAATAATTTTTCTTTGTTTATACAGATTACTTTTATATATGGTCGGCAATAAAGTAAACCGATTTCGTGATTTACGAGCCACTTGCCAAGATATTTATTTACGCATAGACGATCAACGTATCGAAGCAGGAATCATCGAACTGGGCCAGCCCACTTGAGGATGATATCGATCTAAAGTGGGTCTGCGCCGGCGATTAGTGGACCCGATCTACGTATCGCATCAGGAATCATAGAACTGGGCCAGCCCTCTTGAGGATGACTAAATGATTCCATCTATTGCCATTGATACCGATCTAAAGTGGGTCTGCGCCAACGATTAGTGGACCCGATAGCGCTGTCTGGCGGGCAGAGTGCACTCTGGTTAATCGGGACACGGTCAGAAGCGGCACAAAAGCCGCTAAAACAAGGATCGTAAATTTGCCACAAATCTGCGGCGCGTCGCTTGAATGACTTCCATAAAGACCAGTTGCCATTGATAGCTATCGATTTGATAAGGATTGCTCTCTGATAAGGCCCCAACGCTGGCTATAAAAGGGCAAGCTCTGGCTACCGATGGCACACAGTAAATGGTGAAATCAGCAGCTGTTAACATGAGACAATTTGTGGTGCTACTTACACTGGCCGTGGTCTCGGCTAGTGCCAATATCATTGCCTGGCCGGGATTCCCGGAGGGCCGCATCATCAACGGCCATGAGGCCAACTCTGGCGAGGCGCCCTTCATTGTGTCGCTGCAGTCGACCAGCAACTCGCACTACTGTGCCGGCTCCCTGGTCAGCGATCGCGTTGTGCTGACCGCCGCCCACTGCATGACCTATACCACATTCCAGGTGGTCGCTGGCGCCCACAGTCGCACGGACAAGTCGGCGACTCAGGTGCGCAAGGGCAGCAGCGCTCGCCAGACGGTGCACGAGAAATACGGCGGCGGCGTTGGCCCCTATGATTTGGGTCTGATCTTCCTGGAGGAGCCCTTCGATCTGACTGTGCTGGCACGCGATGGCAGCGCACCCGTCTCGACCATCTCGCTGGCCACCAACCAGTTCACGGCCAACACCGATGGCGTGCTCTTCGGCTGGGGACGCGACAACTCTGGCTCGTTGCCCGACAAGCTGCAGAAACTGGACGTGGACATCATCGGCTATGCCGATTGCCTGGATGCGCTGCCACGCGGCAACAGCCTGGCCGACAGCAACATTTGCAGCTACACCGCCGGCACCACCGATGGCGCCTGCAACGGCGACAGCGGCGGTCCTTTGGTTAACAAGAAGGCCGACGGCAGCTACCAGCTGGTGGGCATTGTCTCCTGGGGCTACACGCCCTGCGCCAGCACCAAATACCCCTCTGTCTACACCTACACGGGCGCCTACTCCGACTGGATCAAGGAGCACAGCAATGACTACTAAGGCTAGCCAATGAAAGAATAAATGAATTGAACTTTCGCACTACTCACATCGTCCCATTTGATGAACTTCTCGCCATCCTGCAGAGCCTGTGGCACCTCCACGGTGGCCGTCGATATGTAGGTGCCGCCTGCGCTCATCATCCTGTTGCCCTTCTCTGTGCTATTTGTTGTCCTCAGTTAATTTCGTCCGACTCTTGTGCGTGGATTTGCTTCAGGTTTTCTTTTCAGCTTCAGGGCTTAGCCGCTGTGCTGCATTTCCTTTGTTGAGTTCGTTTCGCTTTCAACTTCAGTGGTTCTCTCAATTGCTGTTGTTGTTGTTTTGTTTGAGTTTTCTGTGCATACAAATGAAGCCATTTGACCGTGTCCTGGTCCTGGCCTCAATTAACGGCAGCCGCTGTTATTGCCGCGCGCTTCACCTGCGCCTGCTTCATTCTGCGGGCTTCGCTGTTGCAGCTTAATTAAAATTCCACTGGCTGCAAAAAGTACAAAACAAACATAACCAAACAATGCGTTTAGACTGAGTTATCAAAGCCAAGTTGTATCAACAGAGTCGACTATCTACGGCTCCACTAGCCATGACCGTAGCCTCCAGCTACACGGACTAAATGCCTTAACACAATTACAAAGTCGAAACTTATTTAGTATTGATTTTTATTATTATTATTATTTGCTCTAAAAACTGTTTTTGGCGCCCCAGCAGGGGCTTCTTGGACTCGCTTTGAAGACTGCTTATTTAATTATTGCCTTGTCCTAAAGGCGAAAATTTGATAAAACATTTATATTTGTTGAAAATTCTTAACAAATAACAAATACTAACTCGACTAATATCGACTAGATGATATTGATAGATATTATTAATATATATGGAGTAATCTTTTGACTTATCTCTAATCGCGTCTTAAGTTCATGTCAACTGGAATTTAACATGCTGGCAATTAATACAGTCCCCCGCTAAATCAAAAACCTCAAAATTACGTAAAAATGCTGTCCCCTTGAAAAATATTCGTTGATTTGTAAAAATAGCATTCAATTTGTTTCCCTCGTTAATTCGTAGTATTTTTTGCAACGCATAGTAAATTTAAACTCTTATAAATTTAAATTTAATATATAATTTAATTTAATTCAATTAATTTAATTTAATTATTTGTTAAATTCCAATAAATTTAAATATGTAAACATTATCTGAAATTTAAAAGCCCCGTTTATTCGAATTTTTCTGTGTTGAACGTTGTTAAATGGAAATCTCTATAAATCGAATTACTGTGAAAGTCGTAAAGTATGTGATCCCCTTGCAATTTCGAATTATCGGGACTCGACTGTAATTATAATTGACGACTGGGCAGGGACTTATTTACCACAATTGGTAAGAAATTCCAGTTTGAAATTAATAAATAAATAATGAATTACGACTGCTATTCTAGATAATTTCAATAGATCAATCATTTGTGGACATTTTAGCTCGCATCACTTGTAAAAGTCAACTCGCTGTGAAAGTTAATTTGTAACTGCAATTCTTAAAGGGATTTTGTATTCGTTTTTTTATTTTTTGTTGCCAGCAATAAATGTGGTTTTAATCAAATCGATTGACTGTCTTTATTTTTGTTTCCTTTGCTATGAAAATATTTGTTGGTTTTGCCATTCCCTTTACAGATGTTGAGGTCAAATCTATTGCCCTAACAAAAACCGCTTCTCAATGACGTCTGCAAAAGAGATTCAAGTGGAAAACGTGGGTGCAAATGTAATTTTGTGATTTGATTCAGTTTTTCTATCGTTGGCTTTAATTTATAAAAAATATCTGCGAGCTTGCACTTTGACTTTGCTCTTCAATGTGGCTTACTCAAAGCAAGTGTTTTTTCTGGTAACTAAAACTTGAGCTGCAGCTGCTTAAAGGCAACCGAGCAGGGACGACAAATGTACTCTTGATATTTAAAAAGGCAATTAGTTAGTTTGCAGCCGAGCGAAAAAGTCAGAGTTTAACTCTTATTTTATTCAGATGAATTCATTCTCATTTGCTGATGACCAAGACTTGACCGGGGTCTCGAAATAAAGTAAGAATTATGCTTGGGCTTTATTCAAATCGATTCATTCGCATACTCTACGTCTTTTCTATAAATAGCCCGAATTCGGGAAGGGTCAAGTCTGGTGCCTGCTCTTCACAGATTTGGCATTCAATATGGCTATCGCTTTGTTAGCCTATTTTTGGGCTGGCCCGGCGGCGCATTGTATAGTTTTCTCTCGCCTTGTTTTTCGTTTTTTATTTTCGCCTTTCATTTATGCAAAATTGTTTCGCTAATTTGGAGCACAAACATTTTCAGTTCACAGTCTTCAGTTTGCAGTTTTCAATTAGCAGCCAAACAACTTTTGACCTCATCAGAGGGAGGGAGGAACTGCGCAACGTTATTGTCCAGCTTCACGGACTTTAAATAGACATCCGGCTGTGGCACAGTCCCAACTCAACGGAACTCAGCTCCGATGACAGCAGCCGATAAGTGTTCAGTAAATTCATTCAGAATATGCTTTGGCTTCTGAATCATTCACAGCCAATACTTTAAGTTTTGCTCCCAAACACTTAATCCGCTTACAATAAGCCAGGCAGCCAGAGAGACGCAGATAATGTCAGATATACAATGGAGAAAGACAACCAGCCACACTCACACACACACTCACGTGACTTTCTAACTAATTCATTTATAATTTCTTTTGGCCAAGCCATAACCAATTCCAGCAACACACAAAATGTGAACGTAAGCAAAACTTTGGCAAGTCCACAAGCCGCACAACTTGGCTGTGTGTGTGTGTGTTAGTGGTAGACACACATTCACACATACAAACACACACACATGCGGCAGAAAGGAAGTCATTTGTTTTTTGTTATTGTTGTTTCTGCGAACTATGGTAAATAAAATTGAATTTGTGTTCATTTATTTTGGCAGTTTTCTTTGCATTTTCTACTTTCTTTCACATTTAGCCGCATGCGTAAATTTCAAATTGAGTTTGTACGTCACGAAAATTCAACCGCCTGCTTCGCCGCGGAAGTAATTAAGCATTTTGCTTTGCATGCGAACTGCGTGGAAATGATTGGAAAATTGTTATGGCTTATATAACAAGCGCGTCGAGAAAATCAAATGAAAAAATTGCTAGCGACGCCGTTTCAGACTTTCCTTTTGCACTCCTTCAGCTCTACGTTTTTTTCTCTCTTCTTCTTTGTACACGCTGAACCCGTTTAAAGTGGGGCATGCTGTCTTTGTGCGAATACTTGTAACAGGCACTGGGAAACTGGGCAGCTCCGAACTTAAAGGGGTATACCTATACCTCGATCGCGGAAACAGCAACAATTAGAGATATGAATTTTGCATAATATCGCTAAATATCGATTTGGTTTCTAATGCAAAAGACAGAGTAATAGAAGAACAAGATACACCAAACTGCTCGTTTAGAATATTTCACATTTTGTATATCCTCTTCCCCATTTCACTCGATATTGTAAAAGAAAAAAAATAGATAGATAGATATGGATAGAGTCGTGTGGCGTAGTGAGACACTGAACATTTCATAAGGCAGGGACAGTAAACACCGTATCTGTATAATCAAGACAGCACATGTCATAGTACGCGGCTGAGGGAAGGAAGAAATATGTGTGGGAGAAAGCTAGAATGTTTGTTCAGGGTATCTTCTAGCCGAGCTGCGAACTAGAGCACTCTTGTTTTTTTTTTCATTTCTTGTTTTTTACTCGCACAAATCGTTTTAAGTGTTTTATGGCAAACGGGCAAAAATTTATTGCAGGCAATTTGCAGATATACCCACGCCTGGTGGGGGCGTGTGGCTGACGGGTGTGTGTGTGTGCGTGGGGGGAGAGGGGGGGGGTCATGGAAAATGGCAGGAAATCACAGCGGCAACAAACAGATTTCAAGTGACTTCCACTTCTAGTGAAACAACAACAACAATAAGCACGACAACAACAATAATAACAGGGCCGGAGCGAGATTCGCATGAATCATGCATGCGACACACAACAGAATAGAACAAAATGGCGGAACTGGGTGGAACTGTCCCCAACAAACGCCTACGGGGCAGCCCCAGGGCCAGCCATAAATCAAAGCACCAGTCAAAATATGTTTGCCGAGCAAACTGTAAAATGTAGGCTCTTCTCTAGTGAAGTGCGTTTGAGGTAGAACTTTATCTCGGGGACTACTTTGTCGGTTTATGTGCCCCATAACCTTACCAGCCAAACGAGCTGTCCTCCATGGTTATTTTATGTGGCAGAAATATGCGAATCTAGATGAGCTATAAACTCATATTTCAATTGTATTTGTATGCTCACAAACATATCCATAAGATATGTTCACCAAGATTTCTCCCTGGTCTCTTAAAGTTGAGAAAACATTCTCTAGCTTCCAGCCGTGCGCTTGATGGTTAGTTTATGGACAAAGATAACTTTTAAAATTTATTATTTGTTCTCTTTTGCTTGAAACTATTTGACATTTTCATTGTAGCTAAAGGAGTTGTCCTCCATGGTCAGTTTATGTTCTGCAAAATGTTCCTAGCTTCACATTTCTTTCATTGTAAGATGGTTTATCGAGGTTCTTTGAAGTTTACAATAAATTTACTAGCTGTAGCCCAGTATTTTGAGCTCTAAGAACTTCGTAGCTGTCAGGCGTGTCCACCATGGTCACTTAAGTATGTCACATAAATACTTTCTGTCAGACGAGTGCTCAGAGATTTCTATATATACGATTCATATTTGAAAGCAATTCTCCATGGTCACTTTATGTGTGTCAAAATCTTACCGAGTTTCAACTACAAACTCTAACCAACTACAAAACATTTTTGGATATCCCTTTATGCTCTAAAAACATGTCAAATCTGAAGTATTTGTGCTCTATGTTCACTTTGGTGCAATAAAAATGTATTAGCTGCTGCATAGTTATTCTAGATGACATTCTGTACAACAACAGGCGCTACATAATAGCATAAAATAATGAATATCAATGCATAACGTCCTCCATGGTCACATGCGAAAATCAGTTCACCCATAACAATAAC